GATTGGGCATTCCCCTGGTCAAGTGTGTGGGAGGCCGTGTGGCCCGATGTTGGTGGAGTTCGGTAGGGCCATTCAGTGGTCATTACCGTGGGAATAGCGGTGTGTATTTGATATTGTGGTGCGTTAGTGCATAGGGCCATGTAATGGCCGATATAAGGATTGTGTTTGCTGTTGGAGTAAGGCCACGGGATGTAGCGAGAGTGTGCATGTGTGGTCTTAGTGAGCCGGTGCGTGATGAGAGGTATGATAGGGATAAAGATGATTAAGAGGGTATGGGTGTGGCTTAAGGACTACTAGAATGGTGTCGAGTTGGTAAGGTGTTGTGGTTAAAACAAAAGGGGTAGAGTGCGGGTCCATTATATGGTCGGGAGAATGAGAGGCTAATAGTAAGGGGTTATACAGGATTAGGAGGGAGTAGTATCGTCATTTAATAGTTATCAAGGAAGAAAAATAAAATGATAGAAATAAGGGAAATGATAGTAAGGAGGGAGGTCATTTAATTGTCATTCATTAGTTTAGTTTCAAAAATTCATCTTATTGGGTTATACATACTCATTACTCTCATTTCAAATGCTTTGAGACGGGAACCAGAAATGGAGAGCTTATTATCATTTATTGTTTACTTAAACGATAATAAGTAGCAAGATGTTTTCAATTATGATGAGACATAGTAGTACACTTACAATATTTGAATAATGTTAGAACTTCTATGTGTATGGTGATAGTTGAACAGTTTTTTTGATTATAGAATTATTCATTGTACGAAAATTGATTTATTTGTTGAACTAATGGATATGTGTGATTTGGTTGAAAAATTATAAATATCTTATTTGAGGTGGAAGAATGAATAATGTATAATTTTATAGTAGAAACCGTTTTGGAGTGTCACACAGTAAGCCTTTCATATATAGATTCTCATTATCAAACACCTATCAATCGCATACCAACATTTCATTTCATATTCACAGATCAATCAAACAATATTTAAGTAAACAATACAATTTCATACATTAACAATTAAGAAACAAAATCAGGTCTTTTTCTCAAATCAGTCAACAGATAAAAATAACGATTAGTTAATCAATGAATGAGAAAATAATTAAAAGTAATAATTTAAAGCACACAACAGAACAATAAATAATTTAAGCAGTATAGGAAAAATAAATAGGCAA